CGGGTTTTGCAGTTTGCTCTTGGGTGATTTCTTTGATTTTATTTGTGATGTTTAGTTTGTTGTAATTCTTTCGTGTGCATGGGACCCAAGCGTACATACATATTAATGAATGGCACGTCTATCTATAATAAGACAAGATGGCATGATAACGGAAAATATGTAAGAAATATGCAGGCCTATCATTTTAAATAATCAATGTGACTATTTGCTGTTAACCCGATCAAGAAAATGCCAGAGAGATAGAGAGAAGAAAAAAATAGAGAAAGAGAAAGAATGAGAGAGAAGGGAAGAGGAGGGAAAGAAAGAGAGAGAGAAGTGCATAGAAAGATGACAATAAAAGGGGGAAAAAAATATTTATAAATATGCGATAAATCGGATGAACAGTTTTTAAATTTTCTTTTTATTTGTTTGCTTTTAATCTGCGATGTAATTGACATTAAAATGTGTTTAGTTTATTCGTGAATACAAAATAAACCGTTTCGCTACACGAATAAAAATAATAATAGTAATGATGATAATGAAAATAATAAAATGAAAGGATGAACAGGTTTTGTTTCTTTTTGTTTGTTTGTTTGTTTGTTTGTTTTGGTCTGCGATGCAATAATCATTAGAAAGTTTGTATTTATTTATCTGTATTTTTTTTCTGTGTGTAGTTTATACTTATTGTGTGTGAAATATCTACATACAAACACACTCTATCTGTCTATCTTTGTTTCGATACATCTCTGTTTACCACACTAATACTTTCTCCTTGTCCGAGTTTTATCCTAAAAAGTCTAATATTCCCTATTTACAGAGGCTAAATTTTAAAACTTCAGCTCGCAATTTATATAATTATTTTCAATGCTATGAGAATTGTTGATAAAATTGGTATATTTTGGCCTTGAAATCGAGAGTAAAATGTCTTGCCCAATTACTGTAGTTTAATCAAACCGCAGACACTGAGGCTCATATTTTAACCTTATCTTGCGATTTAAACGTTTTTTTTCTAATCTGTTTAGTTATTTTACTGATTTTAAGAACTAGTGATAGATTTTCTATATTTATGGCCACGAAATCGATTTTAAAATGAAAAGGACTAGGGAATCGAACCCTAGCCCCCCCCCCCCCCCATCGAAGGCAGGTGTTTGACTCATTAGGCCATCTTGGAAATTTACCAAATTGCTGTTCGGAGGTAATCAGCTGCGGGTTTTGCAGTTTGCTCTTGTGTGATTTCTTTGATTTTGTTTGTGATGTTTAGTTTGTTGTAATTCTTTCGTGTGCATGGAACTCAAGCGTACATACATACTAATGAATGGCACTTCTATCTATTATAAGACAAGACGGCATGATAACGGAAAATATGCAAGAAATATGCAGACCTATCCTTTGAAATAATCAATGTGACTATTTGCCGTTAACCCGATCAAGAAAATGCCAGAGAGATAGAGAGAAGAAAAAAATAGAGAAAGAGAAAGAATGAGAGAGAAGGGAAGAGGAGGGAAAGAAAGAGAGAAGTGCATAGAAAGATGACAATAAAAGGGGAAAAAAAATATTTATAAATATGCGATAAATCAGATGAACAGTTTTTTAATTTTCTTTTTATTTGTTTGTTTTTAATCTGCGATGTAATTGGCATTAAAATGTGTTTAGTTTATTCGCGAATACAAAATAAACCGTTTCGCTACACGAATAAAAATAATAATAGTAATGATGATAATGAAAATAATAAGATGAAAGGATGAAGTTTTTTTTTTTTTTCCTTTTTTTCTTTTTTTTCTGTTTGCGATGCAATAATCATTAGAAGGTTTGTATTTATTTATCTGTATATTTCTTGTGTGTGGTTTATACTTATTGTGTGTGAAATATCTACATACAAACACACTCTATCTATCTATCTATCTTTGTTTCGATACATCTCTATTTACCATACTAATTCTTTCTCCTTGTCCGAGTTTTATCCTAAAAAGTCTAATCTTCCCTATTTACAGAGGCTAAATTTTAAAACTTCAGCTCGCAATGTTTATAATTATTTTCAATGCTATGAGAATTGTTGATAAAATTGGTATATTTTGGCCTTGAAATCGAGAGTAAAATGTCTTGCCCAATTACTGTATTTTAGTCAAACCGCAGACACTGAGGCTCATATTTTAACCTCACAATTTAAACGTTTTTTTCTAATCTGTTTGGTTATTTTACTGATTTTAAGAACTAGTGATAGATTTTCTATATTTATGGCCACGAAATCGATTTTAAAATGAAAAGGACTAGGGAATCGAACCCTAGTCCCCCCGCCTCGAAGGCAGGTGTTTAACTCATTGAGCCATCTTGGATATTTAATAATCTGCTGTTCGGAGTTAATAAGCTGCAGGTTTTGCAATTTGTTTGTTTGCTTTTTGATTGCGATGAAGTTATCTTTAGAATATATTTAATTTGTATCTCTTCTGTCTGCTTGTTTAGACTTGTGTGTGTGTGGTAATGGTGATCAAAGCAGTGTTGCCAATGAATATAATGATAATAGCAATAAATAATTGTTATGGTGATGGTGGTAATAAGGATAAACAAATTTGAAATGAAACAGTAGTAACATTATGAAAAGCAAAAATACTGTCTCACGAGACTTCAAATATCCAAATTCTCTCTCTCTCTCTCTCTCTCTCTCTCTCTCTCTCTCTCTCTCTCTTTCTGTCTCAGTTCTCTCTCTCTCTCTCTCTCTCTCTCTCTCTCTCTCTCTCTCTCTCTCTCTCTTTCTGTCTCAGTTCTCTCTCTCTCTCTCTCTCTCTCTCTCTCTCTCTCTCTCTCTCTCTCTCTCTCTCTCTCTCTCTCTCTCTCTCTCTCAGTCCTTTCTCTCTCTCTTTTTTTCTCAGCCCTTTCTCTCTTTCTGTCTCAGTCCTTTCTCTCTCTCTCTCTCTCTCTCTCTCTCTCTCTCTTTCTCTCTCTCTCTCTCTTTCTCTCTCACTCTCAACCATTTTCTTAATCGGATTAACGGTATATAATCATGAAATGTTGATTATTTTCATGGATAGGCCTGGGTTTTGGCCTCCATGTGGTAGCTTTTTCTCTGCTATCTTAATTTTCTGCGGGTTTTATCATGTTCGTTTGTCTTTGTTTTGTGATGCGATTGTCAGTGGAATGTTTTTAGTTTGTATCACTTTTGTTTATGTGAGAGATTTATCTGTAACATTGTATCTCTGAAAAATGCAAGCCTATCTCTGTCTTTCTCTCTTTTTCTCTCCTACTCTTTCTCGCTTTTTTATTTCTCCCTCTCTCTTTATCTCTCTGTCTTTCATTATCGCTCTATCTATCTATCTTAATCTACCTTTAAGCTTTTCACCACTACTTAACCGGTATGCTGATCGTATCGTAAAAACGGCTTTACGTATAATTCAATCTATAGATAGGCTTGCATTTTTCAGAGATACAATATTATTGCAGATAAGTCTCTCTTTAACTATCTATCAATCTATCTGTCTGTGCCTGCCTATTATCTATCTCTCTGTCTATCTGTCCACCAATTTACCTCGCTCACTCTTTCTCTTGTCCACTAAATATCCTTCACCTAATAAGTTACACGTAGGCAACAAGTTTAATTGAGTTTATCCTGAAAAGTCTAATCTTTCGTGTTTACAGTTTTTTTCAAACCACAGACACTGAGAATAAAAGTTTGTTTTCAGTCTGATTGGTTACGGTTTGTAATTATCATTAACAGGCTTAGTTTGTTGTATCTCTTTGCTGTGTGTGCGAATGGGCAAATCCCCCCCCCCCCCTCTCTCTCTCTCTCTCTCTCTCTCTCTCTCTCTCTCTCTCTCTCTCTCTCTCTCTCCTCACATACATACAAATATACACCGACAGACAAGAGATATACAAGCTAAACATTCTGCCGATAATTGCAATGCAAACAAAAAATCCCGAACAGCAATTAATTAAATATCCAAGATGGTCCAATGAGTTAAACACCTACCTTCGAGGCGGGGGAACTAGGGTTCGATTCCCTAGTCCTTTTATTTTTACTCTCGATTTCGTGGCTATAAATATAGTAGATCTATCAACAGCTCTCATAATAGGTAAAATAACTAAACAGATTGAAAAAAAAAAAAAAAACGTTTAAATTACTAGATGAGGTTAAAATATCAGCTTCATTGTCTGCGGTTTGATTAAACTACAATAATTGTGAAGGACATTTTAGAATAAGACTCGACCTAACTTGCTGCCACTGACTGAAGAATCAGATGGAAAATATCTAAAGAAAAAGGAGAAAGAGAAATATATAAACAAGGTTAGACATTTATATACACATGCAGTAAATATAAACTAAATACATTCTAATACTTATTACTTCAGATACCAAAAACAAAATGAAAAGAAATAAAAAGAAGTAAAATCTGTCTATCCTTTCATTTCATTATTATTATTATTATTATTCAAGTAACGAAAGGCTTCATCTCATAATCATGAATAAACTCATTAACTCAAGTTAATAAGCTGCAGATTTTGTGGTGCGTTTATTTCTTTTTGGTTTGTAATGTTATTATCATCAGAATAGCTTTAGTTTGGATATATGTTGTCTGTATGTGTATAATTGTGTGTGATAAAGAGAGAGAAAGCGAGAGAAAGAAATGGAGAGAGAGAGAGAGAGAGAGAGAGAGAGAGAGAGAGAAAGAAAGAGAGATAAAGGAAGAATAGAATAGAACTTATAATGAGATACGGTTCCAATAAAAATATGAAAACAATATAAATTCATTGATCGGGTTACATAAAGGCTAATATTTTATCAGTAACAAAAAAGATACAACTTATTCCAGTTTCCCTTCTTATAAAAAAAACACCACTTTATCACCCACAAAAGAGTATTAGTTGATTATATATGAATTGTAACAATTTATCCACGGTTGACGTCCCTTATAAAAGAAAAGAAAAAATATATATATATTTACTTATATATTTATTTATATATTAATATCAACCACAAAAGAAAAATCAAACGGAGCCTAAAACCAATCATTTCCCTTCCTCTCTCGCAGGGCCTGGCATCCTGCGGCGCCTGGACATGTTTCGACGAGTTCAACCGCATCGAGCTCGAGGTCCTCTCCGTCGTGGCCCAGCAGATCCTCACGCTGCAGAGGGGGCTGCAGTCGAAGGCCCCGAAGCTCACGCTGCAGGGCACAGAGGTGAGAGGGGGGAGGAGGGGGGGAAGCTCACGCTGCAGGGCACGGAGGTGAGAGAGGGGAGGGGGGGAGTGGGAGGAGGGAGGGAAGCTCACGCTGCAGGGCACGGAGGTGAGAGGGGGGAGGGGGGGAGAGGGATGGGAGAGGGGGAGGGAGGGATGGCAGAGAGGGAGAGGGAGAGGGAGAGGGAGAGAGAGAGACAGAAAGGGAAAAGGAAGGAGAAGGAGAGAGAGAGAGAGGGAAGGTGGGAAGGGAGGGAGGGAGAGAGAGGAAGGGGGAGGGAGGGATTGGAGAGGATGGACGGTGGAAGGAAGGAAGGAGTACAGAATGAGGAAAGGGGAAAGGAGGATGGAAGGTAGGGAAAAGGAAGGGAGAAAGGAGAGAGAGAGGAAGGGGGAGCTGAAATAGGAGGGGGAGGGAGGGGAGTATGAAGGGTGGAGGGAGTGAGGGAGGAGGGAGGGGACAGATTCTAACTTAGCAGATGGGGGTTCAGTTCAAGGCGCATTTTAGAATATATGTAATACAGAGTTAGACAGACAGACAGGTAGGCAGACAGACGGAGAGACAGAGACAAGATAAAGGAAGAGACAGACCCCCAGATCGACAGACAGACAGACAAACAGACAGGTGGACGGATGGACGGACGGATAAACAGGTTGAAACAGAGAACGAGAGACGAGAGATAGAGAGAGAAAAAAAAAGAGGAATTAAAAAAAAAAGACATACAGACAAACCGAGGGGCAGACGTTACGTAAACAAACAGACTTTCAGACACAAATCGAGAGCTCCCACGCCCCTAAAAAGCCGCTGTTGCCTCCTCCTTCAGGTGAGTCTGGACCCCACCTGCGCCGTCTTCATCACCATGAACCCGGGCTACGCTGGCCGGTCGGAGCTTCCGGATAACCTCAAGGTGAGTTGCTTCGGTTACGTGACGTCGCCTTAGATCTCTGTCTGTTGTTGCCTTATATTCTCCGTCTGCATTTTTTTTTTTGTTGTTGCCTTATAATCTCTATTTATCGTTGCCTTGTGTTCTTTCCATTGTTGTCTCATATTCTCTTCCTGTTTTTTTTTTTGTGTGTGTAATGGAATGATTAATGTTTCTTTCCCCTTTTTTCCTCCTCCTCTCTCCCCTCGTCCCTTCCTTGTTCCCTCCTCACTCTCCTTCGCCTCCTCCTCCTTCTCCTTCTCCTTCTCCTTGTCCTCCCCTTCTTCCTTCTCCTCCTTCTCCTTTTCCCCCTCCTCCTCCACCTCCTCCTGCTTCTCTTCCCCTTCCTCCTACCACCCTCCTCCTCCTCTTCGTCCTCCCCCTCCTCCTCCCCCTCATTTCCCCTTCCTATCTCACTCATCACTAAATCTCCTCCACCCTATCTCTTCCACCCCCCATCCCTCCGATCCTCCACCCGCACCTCCTTTTCTTCTTCCACCACCTTCCACCCCCATCCCCCACCTTTCTCCCTCCCTCCTCCCTCCCCCCCCTCTTCCTCCGCCTCCCTCCTCCATCTCCACCCCTCCTCCTCCCTCCTCCCTCCTCTTTTTCCTCCCTCCTCCCCTTCCCCTACCTCCTCCACCCCTCCACCCCTCCACCCTCCTCCTCCCTTCTTCCCCCTCCCTCCTCCCCCTCCTCCTCTCCCCCTCCTATCTCCCTCCTCCCTCCTTCCTCCCAGGCACTCTTCCGCTCGGTGGCCATGATGGTGCCTGACTACGGCCTCATCGCCGAGATCTCTCTCTACTCCTTCGGATTCGTGGCCGCGAGGAGCATGTCGAGGAAGATCGTGGCCACGTACCGCCTGTGCTCCGAGCAGCTCTCCGCGCAGCCGCATTATGATTATGGTGAGAGAGAATAAAAAGGGGGTGGGGGAGAGGGAGAGGGAAGGGGTGGGTTGGGTATAAAGGAGGGGGAGGGAAGGGGTAGGGGGGGAGGGATGGGAAGGGGGTGGGGGAGGGAAGGGAAGGGTGAGAGGGAGTAGGAGGGGGTGGGAGGGGATAGAGGGAATAAGACAGGTAGATGAAGGGATGAGAGAGAGAGAGAGACACACAGAGAAAGAGTGAGAGAGAGAGAGAAAGAAAAAAAGAGAGAGAGAGAGGGAGAGAGTGAGTGAGAAAAAGACAGAGGATAGGATAGGATGGCAGAGAAGAACAAGAAGGGAAATGGAAGGGAAACGAAGAGATCAAAAGAGAAGATAGAGAAAGACGAAGATAGAAAACGCAATCACAAATCGGGGAGGGGAAAGGGAGGTACAGAGAGAAAGAGAGAATAAAAGAGAACAGAAGGAAATGAGAAATGAAGACGGGAAGGAAAAATAGAGAAACCAAGAGAATAGAATAGATGGAGAAGACATAGAAAGATAAAGCAAAAGAGGAAATACAAGAAATGAAACAAACAAGATACTAACAAGATACTAAAAATATTATGGTCTATGAAATCGATTTTTTCACTTGATAAAAAATCCAATCGTCTCGAAAAGTCATGGCAAATTAGTCCTCCTTAATGTGACTGTATTTCATTTTATCGTTATACAGATGTTATCGTGTTTTGCCTTTTTTAGAATAGATAAACAGACTTAGTGAAAGACACAGAATAGAATAGAATGCTGAATAAATCCCATCAGTTTCTATCATTTGCATATTCTCAAAGAATCTACCACCTTAAAAGTTGTAAATAAATCATATTTGAATATTTTTCATCTTTAATCTGCATATCTTCATAGAATCTACCATCCTTTTAAAAAGAATAAATGACATCTAATCATTTCTCGCCTTATGTCTCTATCATTTGCATATAAAATCTACCAAGTCTCAAATAAATCACATTCATTTATCTTTTACCTAAAAGTTTCTGTCATTTGCATATTGTCATAGAATCACTTTCTACATTTAACCCTCTCTCACCTTTAATCTTTCTCATTTGCATATTGTCACGGAACCTACCATCCTGTAAAGAGTCGTATTTAAATAACATCTCTCAACTTCATTATCTATCATTGGAATATTCATATAAAACCGAGCGTCCTTGTAAATAAATCACATCACCTTAAAAGTTTCAATCATTTGCATATTGTCATAGAAATCACCTTCCACACTTAATTCTCTCTCACCTTAAAACTCCCTCATTTGCATATTCTCACAAAACCTCTGAAAAAAATCCTCTGAAAAATTCGCATTTAAATAACAACTAATGGATTTTCGTGCAGGAATGAGGACCGTGAAAGCCGTGCTCATTGCTGCCGGAACCTTGAAGCTCAAATACCCTGACATGCCCGAGGATGTGGTCGTTCTGAGGTAAGGCTCTTTGGAGTAAAGTTTTTGAATGCCGATTAAAGTTGTTGTTTTTTCTTTTTTTCTAAACGATCAGTGGGTAGAACTTTTTTTTAGATTTAGATTGAGTTGACACACACACACACACACACACACACACACACACACACACACACACACACACACAAACACACACACACACACACACATATATATATATATATATATATATATATATATATATATATATATATATATATATATATATATATATGCGCGTGTGTGTGTGTATAACTCAATCCAAATCTAAAAAAAAGCCTTTACCCGCTGATCGTTTAGGAAAAAAAAAATCAAAACACTTTAATCGGCATTCTAAAACTTTAAAAAGCCGAATTATAGATTCGGCTTTAAGTATCGATATTTTGAGCTAATTAACGCTAATTAACAATGGAAACAATTGATGATAACAGATGATATATATCTATGGTGTTGTAAATAAAGGAACTTACGGTATTAAAAACAAAATAACTCTAATAATACTAAAAAAATATAATGTTTCTCAGGTCTGTACGCGATGTCAACTTGCCTAAGTTCTTGGCTCATGACTTGCCTTTGTTTGAGGTAAGTTTGCGTTGTTTATTTGTTTTGCTTGTAATTCGTTTGCTTGTTAAAATTAATTGTTTTTGCGGGAGAATGAAAATTGGTATATGTGTATTTATAAGAGTTAGAGATGAAGATGGTAGTTAATCCTAATGAAACGTCTTTCTCTCTCTCTCTCTCTCTCTCTCTCTCTCTCTCTCTCTCTCTCTCTCTCTCTCTTCTTAATTTCCACTCCCTTCCTCCTATTTCCTCCTTCACCTCTATTTCTTGTCCTTCTTACCCTCTCCCCCCTTCCACCTTCTCCTCCCCTCCTCCTCTTCCCCCTCACCCCCCCCCCTCCTCCCACCCCTCCTAATCTCCTATTCCATTATCCTCTTCCCCTTCACTCCATCCCCCCCTCCCCCTTACCCGCCTTCCCATCCCCTCTTTCCACTCTCCCTCCCTCATCCCGTTCCCTTTCACCCTCATCTCCCTTCTCCCCTATCCTCTCCCCTCACCTCACCCCCCCCCCATCCCACCCTTCCTCTTTCCACTCTCCCTCTCCCCTCTCGCCTATCCTCCCTCTCCCCCTTTTCTTTCACTTTCCCTCCTCCTTCCCCTCTCCTATCCCCTCCTTCCCCCCTCCCCTCTCCCCTATCCTCTCTCCCTATCCTCTATCTCCTCCCCCTCTCCTCTATCCCCTCTCCCTCCTCCCTATCCCCTATCTCTTCTCCCCTTCCCCTCTCCCTATCCCCCTCTTATCCCCCTCTCCTCTATCCCCTATCTCTTCTCCCCTTCCCCTCTCCCTATCCCCCTATCCCTCTCCTCTATCCCCTATCTCTTCTCCCCTTCCCCTCTCCCTATCCCCCTATCCCCTCTCCCTCTCCCCTCCTTCCCCACTCCCCTATTCCCTCTCCCTCTCCCCTATCCCCTCCCCCCTCTCCCCTCTTCCCTATCCTCTATCCCCTCCCCCCTCCACCCTCCACAGGGCATCATCGCCGACCTGTTCCCCGGCGTCGTGTTGCCACAGCCTGACTACACCTGCCTCCACCGCGCCATTAGGGAGGTGAGTGCGTTGTGTGGGAGGCGAGGAAGTTGGTTGTTTTGTGTGGATATAAGCAAGGAGGGTCGTTGGGTGTGTTTGTTTGTGTGGGTGTGTGGGTTTGTTTGTTTGTTTCTTTGTGTGGATGTGTTTGTGGGTTTGTTTGTGTGTAAGGATGTGTGTTTGTTTGTTTGTGTGTACGGACGTGTGTTATTTGTGTGTACGGGTGTGTGTTTGTTTGTGTACGGATGTGTGTGTGCGTATTTGTATGTATTTATGTCAACATGTATGTGTATGTTTATAGGGATATATCATTATATTATAAATATGGTAGTGATGATAAGTATGTTCATAGTAGTAAAAATAGTATACTAGTAATAATGATCACGATGTTACAGCTGATGATAATGATAATAGGCCTAATAATATTGATAGTAATAATATAGAAGTAATGATAATGATAATAATCTAGCCTTTACTATATACTTTTTTTAATTATCATCATTATTTATGTTGTTTTTACTACTGTTATCTTTATCACTACCGTTACGAACATTCCCAATCACCATCGCCATGCAATAATAATCATAATCGTACTGAATCTGATACTTATATTATATCGATATGGATAACGTCTCTGGCCTTCCTCAGGTGTGCTCCGGTGCCAGCCTTCGCGCTAATGATTACTTCCTGGACAAAGTGCAACAGGTGTATGAGACGATGCGAGTGAGGCACGGATTTATGCTAATCGGCAACCCCATCGGAGGCAAGACGGTGGCGCTGAGGACGCTGTCGCAGGCGCTCGGGATCATGAATGAGAGGGTGAGGAAGAGAAGAGGAGGAGGAGGAAAGGGGGAAGGAGAGGAAGTGAGGAGAGGAGGAGGAGGGGGAAGAAGGAGAGGAGGAGATAGGGGGAAGGAGAGGAGGAGGAGGAGGGGGAGGAAGGAGAGGCGGAGGAGGGGGGAAGATGGAGAGGAAATGAGGAGAGGAGGAGGAGGAGGAGGAGGGGGGAAGAAGGAGAGAGGAGGAGGGGGGAGGAAGGAGAGGAAGTGAGGAAGGGGGGAAAGAGAGGAAGTGAGGAGGGGGGTAGAAGGAGAGGAAGGGGAGGATGGGGAAAGAGAGGAGGAGGAGGGGAGAGAAGAGAAGAGGGCAAGGGAGGTGAAAGGTGGCGCTGAGGACGCTCTCGCAGGCACTCGGGATCATGAATGAGAGGGTGAGGAAGGAGAGGGGGAGATAGGGGGAAGGAGAGGAGGAGGAGGAGGAGGAGAGGAGGAGGAGGAAGGGGAGGAAGAAAGAGAGAAGGAGGAGGGGGGAGGAGAGGAGGAGGAGGAAGGGGGAAGGACAGGAGGAGGAGGAGGGGGGAAGGACAGGAGGAGGAGGAGGAGGGGGGAAGAAGGACAGGAGATGAGGAGGGGAAGAAAAGAGTGAGAAAGAAAATGGGAGGGGAAGAAGAGAGTGAGAGAGGAGGAGAAGGGGAAGAAGAGGAGAGTAGGAGGGGAGGAGGAGGAAGGACAAGGGAAGAGCAGGAGGAAGAATAAGAGGAAAGGGAAGGAAGGGAAGGAAGGATCATGAGAGGGAGGAGGAGGGGATAGAAGAAGAGAGAGAGAAGGAAGAGGAAGAAAGAAAGAAGAGGAGTAAAAGGGTGAAGCGAAGGAGAAAGGAAGGAGAAGAGAAGAGAAAAGTGGTCGCCGAGAAGGTGAGGAGGAAGGAGAGAAGAGGAAAGGGAAGGAGAGGGGAAGAAGAAGAGAAAAGAGAAGGGAAGAGGAGGAGGGAGAAAGAATAAAAAGTAGAGAGAATAGGAGGAAGGAGAGAATGGGGGGTGAGATGAGAAGGAGGAAGAGATGGAGAGGAGAAGGAGAAGGAAAAGAGAAAAGAAATGAAAGGAGGAGGGGGAGAAGAAACGGTAATAAATGAGTGAGAAAAAGAGAAGGGAGAGAAGTATCGCTCTCACAGGATCTCGGGGTTATAAACGAAGGAGGAAGAAGGAAATGAAGAGATAGGAGAATGGGGAAGAGGAGGAAGAAGAAAAGGAGGAAGAGAAGGAAGAGATAAGGAATAAGAAGGAGAAAAAGCGAGAGAGATACGAATAAGTAACATTATCGATGCAATTGCAACTACTTTGAGTCATGTAAATTAGAATGAAGAGGAGGAAAAGGAAGACAAAAAGAGAGCAAAATAGTAGGGAAGGGGCAGGGGAAGAATAGAAAGAGGAACAAAAGAAGGAATGTGAAAGAAAAGAGGGGAAGTTATCGTCATGTGACATAGATAGTAAAATAGACAGAAAGATAAAGATATATATAAGGCAGAAATTATTCAGAAACACAAGTCAAAATTACCAAGTAAACTGACAGTCGAATAAGCAATAAGTAATAAAAACAATAAAAGCGAAGTCCACACCCCCCCCCCACACACAGACAAACAGACAGACAAACAAACAGAAACAAAAACAACCACAACAGACCATCCTGACGCTTCCCCCTACCCCCACCCTACCCCCAGGGTGAGGGCGAGAAGCGCGTGCAATCAGATAGACATATTAACTACACAAACAAACAAACACATCCCCCTTCCCCTTTCCCTCCCCCCCTGCCTCCCCCTAACCTCCCTTCTACCCCCTCTCTCTCCCCTACCCCCTCTCTCTCCCCCTCCCCCTCCCTCCCACCCTCTTTCCACCCCTCCCCCTAACCTCCCTTCTACTCTCCCTCCCCCTTTTTCCCTCCCTTCCCTCCCCTAACCTCCCTCCCCCTCCCTTCCCCTCAGAGCGAGGACGAGAAGCGCGTGCAATCAGATAGACATATAACTACACAAACAAGCAAACAAACAAACACATCCCCTTTCCCTTCCCCTCCCCCTCCCCCTCCCCCTCCCTCCCACCCTTTTTCCACCCCTCCCCCTAACCTCCCTTCTACCCTCCCTCCCTCCCTCCCCACCCTCCCTTCTACCTTCCCTCCCCCCTCCCCTCCCCACCTCCCTTGTAACCCCTCTCCCCCCTCCCTCCCCCCTCCCCCTAACCTCCCTTCTACCTTCCCTCACTCCCCCTAACCTCCTTCCCCCCCTCCCCCTCTTTCCACCCCTCCCTAACATCCCTTCTACTTTCCCTTCCCCCTCCTTCCTACCCTCTTTCCCTCCCCCCTCCCCCTAACCTCCCTTCTACCCCTCTCACCGCTCTCCCCTCTCTCCCACCCTCCCTTTCTTTCCCTCCCCTCTCTCCCCCTAACCTCCCTTCTACCCTTCCCCCCTCCCTCCCTCCCCTCTCTCCCTCCCCCTCCCACCCTTCTTCCCCCCCCTCCCCTCTTTCCCTCCCCTCTAACCTCCCATCTCCCCCCCAGGGCGAGGGCGAGAACCGCGTGCAGATGTGCGTGATCAACCCGAAGGCGGTGACGGTGGGGCAGCTGTATGGCCAGTTCGACCCGACGTCCCACGAGTGGTCCGACGGCGTGCTGGCGGTCAACTTTCGCAAGTTTGCCGTGTCTTCTTCGCCGGATAGGTAGGTGGGGTGGGGAGGAGGGTGGGAGGGGGGTGGGGGTGTTTGGTTTGTGTGGTTGTGGTTTTGTTTGTTTTTTGTTTGATTTGGTTTGGTTTTCTTTGGTTGTGTTTTTTTTTTTTTTTTTTCATTTTCTTTGTTTTGTTTTGTTTTTCATTTTCTTTGTTTTTGTTTATTCATTTTCTTTGTTTTTGTACTTGTTTGTTTTTGTTTGTTCATTTTCTATGTTTATGTACTTGTATTTGTGTTTTCTTTGTTTGTTTCTTCTTTCTGTTTGTTTGTTTGTTTTTTCTCGTGTTCGTTCGTTCGTTTTTTGTTCGTTTGTTTGTTTGTTTGCTTATTAAAGCCTAATGTAGTTTTCTTTGTATGATTCTGAGTGTGTGAATTTAAACTAAAAAATCTAATTATTCTTATCTTTATGAATCTTTACAATCTTACTTTAATTCATTTTTCTCTATCTTTCCCTATTTTTCATTTACTGATTCCACCTCCTCTCCACCTCTCTTTCAGGAAGTGGATCGTGCTAGACGGGCCGGTGGATAGCGTGTGGATCGAAAATATAAATTCTGTTCTGGATGATAACAAGAAACTCTGTCTCATGTCCGGGGAGATCATCTGTCTCTCGTCCACCACTAATATCATCTTTGAGGTTCATCATCTTGAGAACGCGTCGCCTGCTACGGTAAGGAGGAAGGGAGGAGGGGAAGGGGTAGGTGGTAGGAGGGGGGAGGGGGAGGTGGTAGGAGGGGGAAAGGGGGGAGGGGGTAGGAGGGAGGAGGAGGAAGGAAGGGGGACGGAGGGAGGAGAGATCATTTGTCTCTCGTCCACTACTAATATCATCTTCGAAGTCCACCATATTGAGAACGCCTCACCTGCTACTGTAAGGAGGAAGGAAGGAGGGGAGGGGGTAGGAGGGGAAAGGGGGATGGAGGAGGGAGGGGTAGGGGAAAGGTGGGAAGAGAAAAGGGGAAAGGGAAAAGGAGGGAGGAGAGATCATCTGCCTCTCGTCCACTCGCGTCGCCTGCTGCGGTAAGGAGGAAGGAAGACGGGGGAGGGGTAGGGGGAAGGAGGAAGGAAGGCGGGGGAGGGGTAGAGGGAAGGAGGGAGGGGGTACGAGGGGAAAAGAGGCAGGAGGATGGAGGAGGGAGGGGGTACGAGGGGAAAAGAGGCAGGAGGATGGAGGAGGGAGGAGGTGCCTCTCGCCCACCACTAAGGAAGAAGGGGGAAGGGGTAAGAGGTAGGAGGAAGGAAGAAGGAAGGAGGAGGAAAGAGTCAGAAGGGAAGGAATAGGTATAGAAGAGGGAGGAGAGATCACCTAAATCTCGTCCACCACTAATATCATCTTCGAAGTCCACCATCTTGAGAACGCGTCGGCTGCCACGGTAAGGAGGAAGGAAAGAGGGAGGAAAGGGAAAGGGGGGAGGAGGGAGGGAAATGGGTGAAGGAGGAAGGAGGGAGTAGGTGCCTCTCGTAGGGGTAGGGGGAAGGAGGGAGGAGGAAGGGATAGGTATGGAAGAGGGAAGAGCGATCACCTAAATCTTGTCCATAACTAACATCATCTTCACGGTCCACCATCTTGAGAACGCGTCGCCTGCTACGATAAGGAGGAAGGAATCCACCATCTTGAGAACGCGTCGGCTGCCACGGTAAGGAGGAAGGAAAGAGGGAGGAAAGGGAAAGGGGGGAGGAGGGAGGGAAATGGGTGAAGGAGGAAGGAGGGAGTAGGTGCCTCTCGTAGGGGTAGGGGGAAGGAGGGAGGAGGAAGGGATAGGTATGGAAGAGGGAAGAGCGATCACCTAAATCTTGTCCATAACTAACATCATCTTCACGGGGGCTGGAGGAGGGAGGGGAAGAGGTGAATGAGGAAGGAGGGAGGAGGGAGTAGGTGCCTCTCGTCCACCACTAAGGAAGAAGGGGGAGGGGGTAAGGGTAGGATGAAGGAAGAAGGAAGGAGGGAGAAGGGAAGGAATAGGTATGGAAGAGGGAGGAGAGATCACCTGAATCTCGTCCATAACTAATATCATCTTCGAGGTCCACCATCTTGAGAACGCGTCGCCTGATACGGTAAGGAGGAAGGAAGAAGGGGGAGGGGTAAAGGGTAAGAGGAAGGAAGAAGGAAGGAGGAGGAAGGAGGGAGAAGGGAAGGGAAAAAGGCGGCAGGCGGCAGGGGAAAGGGAAAGCAGGGAGGAAGGATGAAGGAAGCAGGAGACACGAGGGAGAGGGAAGGAGGCAGGAGGAAGGGAGAAGAAGGAAGGCGACAGAATGAGGAAGGGGATTAGAGGCTGGAGGAGGGAGTAAGGAATCAGTATAAAGGAGAAAAAAAGAAGTAAAATTGGCAGTTGGTCTTTCGATCGTAGTCGGTAAGGAGGAGGCCCTTCTTTCGGCGGTTTCTTGGCAGTCCAGCTGGTTTTTACTACTTAAATGTGGCTTCTATTGGTTTCTATTGTTCAGTGGGTCGGTTTCACGGTGGCCTTGGTTTCTATGATGGTTTCTATAGGGGTTGTCGATGGTCTTTGCTATAGGTGTCGAGGAAACCGTGACCTAGGTAGGTTTTTGTTTTTTGTTTTTATATCTGTGGATAAAGAATATGGGTAATTTTGGTTTCTTCTGAACTGTTTTTTTTTTTTTTTTTCATATGGAAATTTGTAAACCACTTGTTTGTTCATTTATCTGTTTGTTTTATCTCGATGTGAAAGTTATTTCTCTCCCTTTTATTTTTTCATTTTTTGGTTTATCTGTTGAGCTTAAATCCGCTTATAAAATTTTTAGAGAAGTGAACAGCGATCGTGTTTTATTCTTCTGTTTTTATTGTAATCCATTTTCCTGACAGTATATAACTTGCCCCTTGGAAGAGCTATGTAACCCCTCGCTCGCCCCCCCTCCCCTCCCCTAAGCCACCACCCTATATAACATTCGCAACCCCCCCTCCCCCCCTATTTCCTCTGAAGCACAATTAAACCCCCATTCCATAAAAACATTCTCCCCCCCCTTTTCCCTTCCCATGGAGCAACGCCTAACACCCCCCTCCCCCTCCCCCTCCTTCCTCGGCCTTTCCCATGAATCCCCCCCTAACCCTCCCCCCCTCCTCCCTCTCCCTGGGCAGGTGTCGCGCTGCGGGATGGTGTACATGGAGCCCCTGGCCCTCGGGTGGCGCCCCCTGGTGGAGACGTGGCTGGCGAAGCTCCCGCAGACGCTGACGCAGCAGCACCGGGCCGTCCTCACCGCCCTCTTCCACCGCTTCGTGCCGCCGCTGCTGTGCTTCGTCAGGAAATACTTGCTGTGGTACAAGCTGGAGCGGAGCGAGTCGTACGTGCAGAAGGGCGTGTCGCCGACCACCGACCTCAACCTGGTGCGGAGCCTCATGAACATCTTCGACTGCTTCCTCGAGGAGTTCACGGACCCCGCCTACACCAAGCACCACCCCGAGTCCGACATCCGCGCGCATCTCGAGGTGCGTCCGAAGCGCTTGGATGCTTACATGCATGCACACGCACGTGAACGAACACACGCATAAATAAACGGACACGTAAAGGTACACGCATACGCACACACACATGCACACACACACACACACACACACACACACACACACACACACACACACACACACACACACACATTGATATATATCTACATAAATATTTTTCCTAAGCTATTTATTAATATATATACAGACAGTCAACGTGAAAAAAGACAATAATAACAAGAAGAATGAAACATTCCACTCAACTCGCTACCGATTAAACCACCAACAACCGGACTCCCTTCCTTCCCAACTTATAACCTAGCCATTGAACCAACCAATAACCACTTCTTCCACTTCCAGAGCATCTTCCTCTTCTCCGCCATCTGGTCCCTGGGCGGCCCTCTCGACGAAGGCTCTCGCCGGAAGTTCGATCTCGTCCTTCGGGAGCTCATCAGCGGACAGCCCAGCAAGAAGACGATTGAAGAGTGAGTTGATGGGGGTGGGAGGGGAGGGAATGGGGGAAGGGGGAGAGGGGAGGGAAGGGGGGATGGGGTGGGAGAGGGGAGGGAAGGGGGAAGGGGTGGGAGGGGAGGGAAGGGGGAAGGGGTGGGAGGGGAGGGAAGGTGGAAGGGGGAGAGGGGAGGGAAGGGGGGATGGGGAGAGAGGGTGGGAAAAAGAGGAGGGAAGGAGGAAGGGAGGGAAGGGGGAATGGGGAGAGGGGAGGGAAGGGGGGATGGGGAGAGAGGGTGGGAAAAAGAGGAGGGAAGGAGGAAGGGAGGGAAGGGGGAATGGGGAGAGGGGAGGGAAGGGGGAATGGGGAGAGGGGAGGGAAGGGGGAATGGGGAGAGGGGAGGGAAGGGGGAATGGGGAGAGGGGAGGGAAGGGGGGATGGGGAGAGGGGAGGGAAGGGGGGATGGGGAGAGAGGGTGGGAAAAAGAGGAGGGAAGGAGGAAGGGAGGGAAGGGGGAATGGGGGGAGGGGAGGGAAGGGGATGGGGTGGAAGGGGAGGGAAGGGGGAATGGGGAGAGGGGAGGTGGAAGGGGTGGGAGGGATGGTAGGAGAGGGGAGGGAGGGGGGAAAAAGAGAGGGAGGGAGAAAAAAAAGGAGGGGTGAAAGGAGAAGGGGAAGAGGACGAGAGAGAGAGAGAGAGAGAGAGAGAGAGAGAGAGAAAGCAGCAGAAGCAGCAGCAAAAACACCAAGGACGATTAAGTTGCAAGGAAAGGAGGAAAATGAGAGATAAAAGAATGAGAAAGAGAGAGGGAGAGATAGAGAGAGAGAGAGGAAAGGAGGGAGCGTTAGGTAAAAGGAAGATAGTCCAAAAGACCAAAAAAGAATGAGTTAAGGGGGCGGAGAGAGGAAGAGAAGGGAGGAAGAGAAAGAAAAGGATTAAAAGAAAGAAAAGCAGAGAACAGGAGAAACAAAGGGAGGGAGGGAGAGATTCCAACAAAAAGACAAAAGAAAAGTTAAGGAAAGAGGAATTAAGAAGAGGAGGGAAAAGATGAAAAAGGGAAGACAGGTCAGCAAGATCAAAGTTAGTGAGTTAAAAGGAGGAAGAGAGAGAGAGGGAGATGAGAAGGGAGGAAGGTGAGAGAGAGAGAAAGAGAGAGGCACAGAGAGAGAGACAGACAGACAGACAGACAGACTTAGAGAGAGAGCAAGAGATAGAGCTAAAGAAACCGAGAGGTAGAAAGATAAAGAAAGTGAGAGAAAGCAAAATAAACACTAACCTCCACTTCCTTCCCCGTCAGCCTCGGCCTGTCAGAGGTTCCGGAGCCTCCTCATGACTACCAGCTTCCCATCCCTGACGATGACACGGTCTTCCATTACAAGTTCGTCAAGGAGGTAAAAGAAAAAGATAAAAAAAAGAATCATGTTTTCGTTGTCTTTTGGAAATTCAGGAGATTTTAGTAAGCTTGTGACTTTTTATTGGTTTGTCTCTTAATAGTAATAACCTGTTTTTTTTTTTTAAAGTCGTTTTGAATTTGAAATCTGAATGATCCTCTACCAAACCCCATTTTCAATATGTATTCCCTAAAAATCTATGGCCGTAAACCCCACTTTCACTTTACACGCATTTTGAAAAGAATGAAGAACACCATTTCATTCCCAACATCCCCTCTATTTTCACCACAGGGTCGTGGGTACTGGCAAAAATGGAGCGAAGACCTAGCCAACGCAGCTTCCATACCCCGTGACGTGGCTGCCCATCAGATCCTGGTACCCACCGTCACGACAGTTCAAGTCACCGCCATCTTGAGCCTGCTGGTGTCCCAAGCGAAGCCCCTGCTCCTGGTGGGACCTCCGGCGACGGGGAAGTCGGTGTATGTGGCGGTGAGGAAATTTTAGAGCTGTGTTGTTGTGTTATTTTCTTATGGTTGTCACATCTACACGGTGTTTGGGAGACGGTAAAGGTTATATTGATGGTAATTTTAGCTGTGAAATTTGATTAGAGCTAACATTGAGGTTGATTTATGGTTATAGTAGTAGAAAGGGGTTTTAATGATAGGTAGTTCTAACAAAGATGGTTTTTGGGTAAGATAAACTCTTATTTCCATTGTACTTGTTGCTAGACTAGTTCTGACTCATATCTTGAGCTTTACCTGAATCAAATAGCAAGGTCTATAGATAGATCTGCATATCTCAAAAATATACCTGTTAACAGAGGCCCTACCTAAGAATAATATTTAACCCAAGAACCAGTAATTTTTTAAAACTACCTCCTACCACACTTGATAAAACCTACATACCTGCTACTCTCTACTACCTCTCTCTGCTTAACCTGCTAACTCAACTCCCTCCCTACTGCTTCTCCTCCTCCCACAGGACTTTCTGAGGAACAAGCTGAAGGCGGCGCAGTACAAGCCCATGTTCATCAACTTCTCCGCCCACACCAACACCACCAGCGTCCAGGACCTCGTCATGAGCGGCCTGGACAAGCGAAAGAAAGGTTTGTGGAAGAGAAACTTTTATGTATATTTTTTTTCTGTTTAATTTTTGTTTCGTTTTCTGTTTTACTTATATTTATTTACTTTTACTTATTTTTTAATTTATTTGTTTACGTTGTGTTTGTTCTTTGTCGTCAGAGCAAGTGGCTAATTACAGAAGGAAAGCGGTTACTGTAAATTAGGAAATTAAATCTTTGTTTTATGTTTATATTGTGTATTTGATAGGAATTGGGTGGTATGTATTTGTTATATCGTTTCTTTAGTTTAGGGAGAACGTTGTTGCTACTTATGTAAAATCTTCAATATTGTTTTGATTTTGAAATGAAGTATCACTAAGTCCGTTTCGTAAGTGGTGTAGTTCCTGTTGCTACACATCTCTCATATTCTATTTATTTCTTTGTGTCACTATCTTCATCTACCAGTCTTTTCTCTGCCTCTTCTTATCCTCTTCGTCTCTCCTTCCGTTCACCGCTCGTCCCTCTCTCCCGCTTTCCATCTCTGACTCATATCCCCGCTCCCTTCCTACATCCGTCTCCATTCCTATTGCTGTCACTCCCTCTCGCTTCCTACTTGTCTCCGCGCCCATTATCTCCCTCTTCTTTTGTAATGGCTTTGTTATGATAGAGGATAGCAGTGTCTAGTAGGAGCATGAGAACAAAGGAGGGCTGGTTTCATTTATGGCGGAGATATTCACAAACAACGAAGCGCGCGCTACATAGGCATGAAGACCCACAATCAACTGGTGGCGTTCTGGTCGGGCACGTTAGAGACAAGTCTGGATTCGAATATTGCTGAACTAGGGTTGACGTACTACCCGGCCATAGTGATATTCGTGGAGGTCACGTTAACCTACGTTGACCTACGTGGGACCCATTAGTCCCGTGATTAAACCGTGGACTAATACTCGCATGGTGACGCTCTTGTTGTTGGCTTGGATCGCTCACCTACGCTTGTTGGTTACCATATAAAAAATATTAGCAGCATCATGACACTATGGCAACATTCTTTTTCGTAACATTTATACACCCCTCCTCCCCCAGGCGTGTACGGTCCCCCCGTGGGCAAGCGGTGCGTACTCTTCGTGGACGACCTGAATCTCCCGCAGACGGACGCCTTCGGTTCTCACCCGCCGCTCGAGCTCCTGAGGCAGCTGGTCGACCACGCCACCTGGTATGACATCAGGAAGGAGGTCGAGCCCATTCGCCTGGAGGATATGCAGGTAAGGGAGAGAGGAAGACAGAGAGAAAGGACTGGGGAAGGAAAGAGAGAGAAAGGACTGGGGAGAGGAAAGTAATGGAGGGGAGGGGGGAGGGAAGGAGAGGAGTGGAGAGATGGGGGATGGGAAGGGGAGGGATGGAAGGGAGGGGGAAGTGAAGGAAATGGATGGAGAGGTTGGGGAAGGGAAGGGGAGGGATGGAGGGGAGGGGGAAGGGAAGGAAAGTAGTGGACATGTGGAGGAAGGGAAGGGGAGGGGTGGAGGGGGGAAGGGAAGGGGAGGGATGGAAGGGAGGGGAAAGGGAAGGAAAATAGTGGATAAATGGAGGAAGGGAAAGGGTGGAGGGGTGGGAGGGAAGGATAGAAATGCAGGGGAGGGGAAAGGGAAGGGAGAGAGAGAAATATAGGGGGAAGGATTGAGGAAAGGAGAGAAGGGAAGTGGAAGGGAACGGAAGGAAAAGGGAAAGGGTGTTGAGGATATGCAGATGAGGCGGAGGGGATGGGAGGATAGGGAGGGAAGAAAGAAAGATAGCGGGAAAGGATAGGGGATGGAGTGGAGGGATGGGGGAAGGGAGGGAGGGAACTTGTGGCGAAGGGAAGGAAAGGGGGGAGAGGGAAGTGAAAGCTAAGCCCTTGGAAAGGATTGTATGATATGAGGGGGGGAGGGGGTCGTGCTCATTCAGCTTGCAGACAGGTAGACGAGAGGATGAGAGAGAGAGATAGAATAAGAATGAAAAATACTAAGACAAAGACAGACAGACAGACAGACAAAAACAGAAAGAGAAAAATAACCACACACAAAAAAAACACATAGAACGCGAAAACTCAACAAAACAAACAAAACAAACAAACCAAAAACCACTCACCCCCCCCCCCTCACCCCTCTCACGACCCCCCGCAGCTGGTATCGACGATGAGCCTACGTGAGAGCGGAAGGACGAACCTGACGCCCCGCCTCCTCCGCCACTTCAACGTCGTCGCGGTGAATGACTTTGATGACCAGACGATCCACTCTATATTCTCCAAGGTTAGTGTTTGCGAGGACTGGTATTGTGTTCGAACCACGTGGCAAGAATAGATGCCATAGCCACGTTGATACATGTTTATTTATTGTATTTACACATAGATGGCTCCACAAGTTCTTAATCACCAAATAGCCAGTTATCAAGAACTACCTATTTCACCTTTTCCTTCACTTTACGAAAGGGTTTTTTTGTATCATTTCATTGTCTAAAATATTCTAATGACAATTTAATAATCGTAGCATCAATAACAATAATAACAGTATCAATAGCAATGGTATTAATTTTCCCGCCAATACAATGAACAGGAAAATCAGGGTCAGTAAGTAGGGCCTACTGATAGACTCCTTGCCGGCTGAGCACATGTGGAGCCATCTGTATGTAACAAAATTCACCAAAAACTACAGGGCACAGAACATAAATCCGAGGCGAATGGGTTTTAAGATGAGTTTGTATTTCTAGGGGATGCTCAGGAGGGTGAATTAGTATGTAGATGTGTGGGAAGGAGAAAGGAAGTTTCATGCATACATAAAGACATAAATAAACACATGTGTATGCACGCACACACACACATACACACACAAACACACACACACGCACACAATCATCTCTCCTCCCTCCCTCCCTCCCTTCCTAACCCTCTCCCTCCTTCCCTCCCCCCCTCCTTCTTAGATCCTTCTATGGCACCTGGACACGCGAGGCTTCAGCAAGATGTTCGACCCTTGTATCGGCGAGATCGTGAACGGAACGCTGGAGGTCTACCGCGCCGCCGCCACAAACCTGCGCCCGACGCCCTCCCGCTCGCACTATATCTTCAATCTTCGTGACTTCTTTAGGGTTATTCAGGTACGTTTGGAGGGGGGGAGGGGGAGGGGGAGGCGGGGGTTATGATAGGCTTTATTTTGTGGGGTTTAGCTGTGTTTTTTTTTCTGTTTGTTTGTTTTTCGATTGTTTTTACTGCTTCTTCAATCTTCGCGATTTCTTCAGTCATTCAGGTACGTTTGGAGGGGAAGGGAGGGGGAGGGGGAGGCGGGGTCAATATAAGCCTTATTTTGTGGGGTTGTTTGTTTGTTTGTGTTCTTGTTTTGTTTTTTGTTTGTTTAAGGTTGTTTTTACTGCTTCTTCGATCTCTGCGACTTCTTCAGAGTCATTCAGGTACGTTTGGAGGGAAGGGGAGGGGGAGGCGGGGGTCATGGTAGGTCTTATTTTGTGGGATTGTTTGTTTGGTTGTGTTCTGGTTATGTTTTTGTTTTTTCGGTTGGTTTTGTTGTGTCTTCAATCTTCGCGACTTCTTCAGAGTCATTCAGGTACGTTTGGAGGGGGGGAGGGAAGGGGAGGGGGAGGTGGGGGTCATGGTAGGTCTTATTTTGTGGGATTGTTTGTTTGGTTGTGTTCTGGTCATGTTTTTGTTTTTTCGGTTGGTTTTGTTGTGTCTTCAATCTTCGCGACTTCTTCAGAGTCATTCAGGTACGTTTGGAGGGGGAGGGAAGGGGAGGGGGAGGCGGGGGTCATGATAGGTCTTATTTTGTGGGATTGTTTGTTTGGTTGTGTTCTGGTTGTGTTTTTGTGTTTTCGGTTGGTTTTGTTGTGTCTTCAATCTTCGCGACTTCTTCAGTATGGAGTTTAGCTGTGTTCTTGTTTTGTTTTTATTTTTTGTTGGTTTGATTTTCGGTTGTTTTTACTGCTTCTTCTATCTCTGCGACTTTCTTAGGGTCATTCAGGTACGTCTGGAAGGGGGGATGGGCTGGGGGAGTCGGGGGTCATGGAAGGCTTTATTTTGTGGAGTTTAGCTGTGTTCTTGTTTTGTTTTTGTTTTTTTGTTTCTGTTTCTGTTTGTTTTTCGGTTGTTTTTTAATGTATCTTCGACCTCTGCGACTTCTTCAGGGTCATTCAGGTTCGTTTGGAGAGGGGGAGGGGGAGGCGGGGGTCATGATAAGCCTTATTTTGTGGTGTCATTTGTTCTGGTTTTGTTTTTTGTTTGTTTGTTTTTAGGTTTACTTTACTGCTTCTTCGATCTCTGCGACTGCTTCAGGGTCATTCTGGTACGTCTGGAGAGGGGGAGGGGGAGGGGGAGGCGGGGGTTATGATAAGCTTTATTTTGTGGGGTTATTTGTTTGTATCCTGGTTTTGTTTTTTGTTTTTGTTTGTTTGTTTTTCGGTTGTTTTTACTGCCAAATTTTGTGGGGTTATTTGTTTGTTTGATTGTGATCTGTTTTTTGTTTTGTTTTTGTTTGTTTGTTTTTCGGTTGTTTTTACTGCTTCTTCGACCTCTGCGACTTCTTCAGGTACGTCTGGAGAAGGGGAGGGGGAGATGGGGGTAGTTCTTTGTTTATTTGATTGAGGGATATTTTTTTTCTGGTCGTTGTTTCTGTTTCTTCGACTTCCGCGACGCCTTCTAGGTCATTCAGGGAGAGGGAGGGTCATAAAACGCCTTATTTTGTGGGGTTCTTTGTTTAATTCATCGCGTCCTTGTTTTTGTTGTTGTTGTTGTTGCTGTTGCATCTTCGAAGTGGGATGATAATTATTCGTTATTTTCTATGGTTCTTTATTTGAGATAAACCTATTCCCTATCAATTTTCTGTGCGGGACTTCCTATACTTATCACAAACCTACATTATTTCTCTCTACCAATTTTTTCTTCCCTTATCCATGCACCTAATAAATATACATACAGGGCGTGTTGCTGTCCGTGCCCGAGACGATGGAAGACCTGCGCTCCATGAAGAAGATGTGGATTCACGAAGTTCTACGTGTGTTCTACGATCGCCTGGTGGACAGTGGCGACCGCAAGTGGCTACTGCAGCGAGTGTCCGACGCTTGTACTAACCACCTCAATGAAGATTTCAACCACCTGCTGGCTGAGCTCGACGACGGGGACGATGGAGAGGTGAGGGGAAAGGGGTTTGTGTGGGAGGAAGATAATGAGGGGAGGGTGAGGGAATGGTGAATTGGGATAGGAGGGTAATGACGAGGAAAAGGGGAGAGAAGAGAGGGGTATGGTTATAAGTATCACTCCAACGAGGATTTCAACCACCTGCTGGCTGAGCTCGACGACGGGGACGATGGAGAGGTGAGGGGAAAGGGGTTTATGTGGGAGCGAGATAAAGAGGGGAGGGTGAAGGGATGATGAAAAGGGACAGGAGGATAATGACGGAGAAAAGGGGAGAAAAGAGAGGGGTATGGTTATAAGTATCACTCCAACGAGGATTTCAACCACCTGCTGGCTTAGGTTGGCGACGGGGACGATGGAGAGGTGAGAGGAAAAGGGTTTATGTGGAAGGAAGATAGTGAGGGGAGGGTGAAGGGATGATGAAAAGGGACAGGAGGATAGTGAGTAGTTAGTGTAACGATGAAATGAAAAAAAAGATAATGAAGAGGAAACGAGGAAAGAGGAGACGGGAATGACGATGCTGACCGAGCTTGCCGACGGAGAAGTGAGGGGAAAGTGGGTTAGAGGGGGAGAATGAGAAGAAAATGAATAGTAGGATAAAGATAAAGAAAAGGGGGAAAGAGGAGAGGCCAGAGTTAGACGACGGGAATGGGAGAGAATCGTAAAAGAAGGGGGGTGAAAGAGGAACTAAAGAGGGGGAATAAAGTGGAAGAGAAGAGGAAAGAAGGGAATAAGAAGCAAGGGAATAATAAGAAAAGGGAAATGACAGCTAACGGGAAGATTAGAAAAGTGAAGATATAGGAGATTAGAGATGGCGAGAGTGAAAGGAAGATGGAATGAGAGAGAGAGAGAGGGATAAAAAGGAAGAAGGGAGAATGGGACAATGAGACAGAGGGATAAAGAGGAGGAAGTTAGAATGAGATAAACGGATAAAGAGGAAAGGGAAAAGTCGTACATAGATGATTCCATTACTAACCCCCTGAACGACAGGAACAAAAGATAGATAAAGAAATAACAAAAAGGAAAGATAAGGAAGAACAATAAACACAGGAAAACATAACAAGGGAGACAGAAAAATGGGAAAAGAATAAAGTAATACCTACTGAATGAATGCACACACACACACGCACACACACACGCACACACACACACGCACACGCACACGCACACACACGCACAGTCTATCGTCTCTTCACCACAATAATAAATCCCACAAATCCCACATTTGAACACCACAAACCACAAGCAAAAAATTACATACCCCTTGCCCCCCCCCCCCCCCGCTCTCTCCCACACTTCCCCACAGACCTCAGAATTCCCCCCTTCTCTCCCCCACACAGATCTCACAACCCCCCCCCCCCCTCCCTTTCTTTCTCTCTCTCTCTCTCTCTCTCCACACACTTCCCCACAGATCTCACCCCCCCCCATCTCTCTCCCCCCACAGGTGTCCGAGAACGACCTACGCAACCTGGTCTACTGTGACTTCGCGGATCCCAAGAGCGAGAGCCGGCATTACGTTCAAGTGGAGGACCTGGAGGGACTTCGTAGCGTGGTCGAGGGTTACCTGCACGAGTTCAATAACATGAGCAAGAAACCGATGAACCTTGTTATGTTCAAGTGGGTGTTTTGTTTTGTTTTGTTTTGTTTTGTTTCGTTTTATCTTGGAGTTTAATTCATGGGATGGTTAGTATGGTAATGATGAGAGAAGTGATGGTAATGATAAGATAAGAATAATATGTATATGTAATAGTGATAGTGTTGATTATGATAGTGATAATAATTAACGTGTTCATAATTATGACAACGATAATGATGGCAATAGTATCAATAACAACATAATCAATAAAACTAGTTGCACTAGCTTTAGTGACGATAGGGAAATCAGAGATGCAACAGTAGAAGAAAAGAAAACGAACGAGAAGGAAGGAGAAAGAGAGGTAGACAAAGATAGAAAAATATATATGTATACATATATATTTATATATATATATATATATATATATATATATATATATATATATATATATATATATATATATATATATATATATATATATATATATGTACGTATATGTTTGTTTATGTATATCTATATATACATACGGAAAGAGAAAGAGTGAGAGAGAGTGAGAGTGAGAAAGAGAGAGAGAAAGAGAGAGAGAGAGAGTAAAAAGAAGGGGAAGAGGGAGAGACAGATAGGCAGACAGAGAAAACAAAGAACCCTCACCTCCCTCTCGAGTTCCCTCTGAGACTCCCGCGCCCCCTTGGTCCTCCTTCAGGTTCGCGCTGGAGCACCTGGCGAGGATCTGCCGCGTCCTCCGCCAGCCCCGAGGCCACGCGATGTTGGTGGGCGTGGGCGGCAGCGGGCGCCACTCGCTCACGCGTCTCGCCGCCCACATCACAGACTACGAGCTCTTTGAAGTAAGTTCGTGGGCGGTTTTATGTCTTTGTAATGTTTTTTTTTGTTTTTTGTTTTTTCATGTTTTTTTTATAGTACTGTTGTTGTTGTTGTTGTTGTTTTATTACTAGTCCTTTTTTGTTTGTATGTCATAATTTTTTTCATGATATACTATTTTATTTCTTGTTGGAAGGAATGTCGTCATCTGTATTTTTATAATATACTACTAGATTTTTTTCCGGGGGGGAGGGGAGGGAAGGTTTTTTTTTTTTTTTTTTTTTTTTTTTTTTTTTTTTTTTTTTTTTTTTGAGAGAGAGAGAGAGAGAGAGAGAGAGAGAAAGAGAGAGAGAGAGAGAGAGAGAGAGAGAGAGAGAGAGAGAAGTATATTTGTTTCTTTTTAATTGTTATTAGGTTCTTATGTCCATAAGTTTCATTCTCTTTTTCTTTCTGTTGTCTGTAAATTAAGGTATTTTAGAGAATGAAAGAGAAAGCTGAATAAGTAAAATGAAAAAAAAAATCATTTTTTCCCCTCTTTTTTTTCCTTTTTTAAAACCTCATTTTTTTTCCTGAAGGTTATTTTTTTTTTATAAATTGTGAGCCCTTTCATTTTTTTTCAATTTCCAAAGTAAACGTGTAAAAGTCATTTATTTCATGACATGAGCCTATTTCCCAATTACCATCTCGCAGAATGAGTCATTTTCTCTCTTCTTAAAATTAATATCCTTAGAATGACTAAAAATCCTGCCCTTATCCTAAAAAAAATATCCTTAAGATTAATCAACAACTTCTTATCAAAAAAAAATATCCTCAGAATGAATAAAAATTCTGTCCATATCCGAAAAAAAAATATCTTTAAGATTAATAAACAGCTTCTTATCCAAAAAATATCCTCAGAATGAATAAAATCCTGTCCTTATCCTGAAAAAAATTTCCTTAAGAATAATAAACAACTTATCCAAAAAAAAATATCCTCAGAATGAATAATAATCCTGTCCTAATCCTAAAAAAAATATCCTTAACATTAATAAACAACTTCTTATCAAAAAAAAATATCCTCAGAATGAATAAAAACCCTATTCTTATCCTGAAAAAAAGATTCAACATCCTGTCCTTATCCTGAAAAATCCCCCCCCCCTTTCTTCCCCTCACCCCCCCCACACACACACCCAGAAGTAAAAAACGAGTGACTCAGAACGACTCATCACCCATTCCTTCCTCCTGTAGGTGGAGATGAGTCGCAGTTACGGCCTGACGGAGTGGCGGGAGGACCTCAAGATGATCCTGAAGAAGGCAGGCACCGGAGAACAGCATATCGTGTTCCTGTTCAGCGATACGCAGGTCTGATTGATTATTTTTGTATTCGCATCATCTTCCCTATCTGCATAGAGGAGTGAGGGGGGGGGGAGTTGTGTGTGTGTGTGTGTGTGTGTGTGTGTGTGTGTGTGTGTGTGTGTGTGTGTAGGGATGGTGGGAACCGATAAGCAAAAAAAATAATTCTTTCTGTATTCACAGCCTTTTCCCATCTACATATAGGAGTGAAGGGGGAGGGGAGTTGTGCTTGTGTGTTTGTTCGGGAGTGTGTTTGTGTTTGTTTCTGTGTCTGTCTGCGTGCGCGCATGCGTGTGTATATATGCATCTATATCCATTTTACCAACAAATAACAAACAAACAAATAAACAAACTCCCCCATCCCCCCCAAACCTCCCCCCACCCCACCCCCAACCAAAAAAAAATATATATATAATCACAACTTCCTGCAACTTCTCTCAACCTCCCCCCCCTTCTCCAACCGCAGATCAAGAACGAGATCTTCCTGGAGGCGATCAGCAGCATCCTCAGCATCGGCGAGATCCCGGGCCTCTATCCCACGGACGAGAAGCACACCATCTGCGACAAGATGAGGAACATCGACCGCCAGAGGGACAAGAGCAAGCAGGTGGGGGCGAGGGGGGAGGGGGAAGGGGGAGAAGGGGAAGGGGTTAGGGGTTAAGGGGAAGGGGAAGGGGGAAGGGGAGAGGGGAGGGGGTAAGGGGAGGGGCGAAAGGGAATGTGGGTGGATTTTTGGGGTTTTGGGGGGAGGGGTAAGGAGTAAGGGGAGGAGCGAAGGGGAATGTGGGTAGGGTTTTGGGGTTAGGGGGGAGGGGGGAGGGGTAAAGGGGTAAGGGGTAAGGGGCGAAGGGAATGTGGGTGGGGATTTTGGGTTGGGGGGGAGGGGGAAGGGAATGTGGGTGTTTTTGGGCGGAGGGGGAAGGGGTGAGGGGAGGAGCGAAGGGGAATGTGGGTAGGGTTTTGGGGTTAGGGGGAGGGGGGGAGGGGTAAAGGGGTAAGGGGCGAAGGGAATGTGGCTGGGGATTTTGGGTTGGGGGGAGGGGGGGAGGGAATGTGGGTGTTTTTGGGCGGAGGGGGAAGGGGTGAGGGGAGGATCGAAGGGAATGTGGTTGGGGTTTTTGGGTTAGGGAGGCGAGGGGAATGTGGGTATTTTTGGGGGGGAGAGTTTGCTTAGAGTGGGGTGGGGTTAGAGAGTAGGTAAGGAGCGGAGTTGGAGGAAAAGATAGGGGCGTTTATTAGAGAGAAAGCGAGAGCAGGAGATAGCGTTTGTCTTCCATCAAATTATTACTTATTTTCATTGTCTTTCATTTTTTTCGTTTCTTTGATTTTTTTTTTTACCACACATGTGCTTCATCTTCCTTATTTCTTTATTTGTCTGTTTCTCTAGTACATAATCATCCGCCTTATCATTTTCATTATCTTTCTTGCTGTTTTTCTCTTTCATTTCTATCAAATGCATGCTTCTCTACTAATCAGTTTCATTAACTCTCTTTTTGTCGTTTCAGTAATTATATTTTTTATCACACATTTTTCACACTTGTTTTCAATACCACACATGTGCTTCATCAACCTTCTTAATATTTCTATCCTCTTCAATCATTTTTCGAACGTTTCTTCTCCCCATCTTCTCCCCTCCCCCTTATTATTTCCCTTTTCCCTTTTCCTTCCTTTTTCCTGTTTTAAACTTTAATTCGTCACTTAAATCCAGCATCTCACAAGACACATGTTTCAGTAACCTCCCCTTTCCTTCCTTTTTTATCCCTTTTTTTAAATTTTAATTCATCTCATAAATCCAGCATCACTGACCTACCCCGCCTCCCTCAGACCGACGGGAGCCCAGCCGCGTTGTGGTCCTTGTTCGTGGAGCGCGTGAGGGAACAGCTGCACGTCGTCCTGGCCATGTCGCCCTGCGGAGAGGCCTTCAGGAACCGCCTGAGGAAGTTCCCGGCGCTCCTGTCCTGCTGCACGATCGACTGGTTCCAGGTAGGGTGGTTCTGGAGAGCTATAGTCTGGAAGCGGTTTTCTGTGGGTCTAGAACTGTTCTGTATGGTTCTAGAACGGTTCTAAATTGTTCTAGAGCAGTTTCGGATGGTTCTAGAGCGGTTCTAAATTGTCCTAGAGCAGTTTCGGAGGGTTCTAGAGCGGTTTTTGTGTGGTTCTAGAGCGGTTCTGCGTGGTCGTTGAGCGGTTCTAGATTGTCCTAGAGAGGTTCTGTTAGGTTCTCTGGATTCTAGAGTGTTTTGCAGTGGCTCAGGGTGCAGTTTTAAAGGCCGGCAATCAGGGCGTCTTGCTCTTCTCATCAAGTGAAGGGTTTCTGGGGAGTTAATCATCAGTCGTCAGTAATCATTCATCATTATTCATCATTATTCATCACCATCGTCGTCATCGTCACTGCCATCCGCCATCATTATCTATCATTTATCATCAGTCATCATCATCATTATCATCTTCAAAGTAATCATCAGTCATCATCATCGTCATCATTATCACCATCACCATTACCATCCTCACCACCATCATCACCACCACCATCACCATCATGCAAAACCCAATTAAAATCATCACTCCCATCTTCACTCAACAAATTCAACTTCACTCCAGTCCCTCTCCCTCCTCCAGGCATGGCCGGAAGACGCCCTCGAGGCAGTGGCACTCAGGCTCCTGCAGGGCGTGGAGCTCCCGGCGGAGACGCTGAAGGGCTGCGTGTCATTGTGCCAGTACTTCCACACTTCCACGCAGGAACTCTCTGACAGGTAAACACACAAACAAACAAACTAAAAAAAAAGAGAGAGGGAGAGAGAGAAAGAGAGAAAACAGAGAGAGAGAGAGAGAGAGAAAACAGAGAGAGAGAGAGAGAGAGAGAGAGAGAGAGGGTTGGTTGTTGAAAGGTTTAACTTTAAGGTGGATTTATGGATAGAATTATAAATAGATGGATAAGTGGATAGATAGAAAAATATATAGATAAATAGGTGGATAGATATATGGATAGATAGAAAAATGTATAGATAGACAGATAGATAGATAAATAGATATATAGACAGATCGATAGATAGATAAATAGGTGGATAGACATATATAGACAGATAAATAGATAGATGGACATATACAGACAGATAGATAGACAAACAGACAGAGAGATTGATTGATAAATAGATAGACATGTATACAAAATGGCTAATATACAAACAGATATACTTACCTTGCTCAATATATGACTGACATTGATTTCCTGACAGATTTCATAGATCGATGAATAAAAATTACGAGGCAGGTATCAAAAGCACAAAATGTACAGTAAACAAATATGTATTGCCATTATTAGAGTTAGAAATTATCTGATAAATAGATGATAATGTAAACTGCCATGACGACACTTAATTTGAATATCAAATCGGACGGAATTTTGAAAAAAAAGGTAACCACTCCTTTTATTATAAGTGTAAGTATTATAAGTATTATGATAAGTCATTTCTACTTATAAACAATCCCTTCGTTGTAACTGTTCTGTTCTTCATTGAATTTATACTTACGATTTTTTTCAGATTTTTGACGCACCTTCGTCGATATAATTACGTGACACCTACCTCCTACTTACAGCTACTGGCTACTTACATGGTCATTCTTGAGAGACGTAGAGGGTAAGTAGATTTTTATTTATTTTTTTTTTCAATTTGTCTACTAGTCTGTGTATCTGTCTTTATACCATACCTATATATTTATCTGTATGTGTATTTATCTTTATCTTTATCTTTCTCTTTCTCTCTTTCTCTCTTTCTCTTTCTCTTTCTCTCTTTTCTCTCTTTCTCTCTTTCTCTCTTTCTCTCTCTCTCTGTCTCTCTCTCTCTCTGTCTCTTCTGTCTCTCGCTCTCTCTCTTTCTCTCTCCCTCTCTCTCTCTGTCTCTTCTGTCTCTGTCTATTCTGTCTCTCGCTTTCTCTCTTTCTCTCTCCCTCCCTCTCTCTCTCTCTGTCTCTTCTGTCTCTGTCTCTTCTGTCTCTCGCTCTCTCTCTTTCTTTCTCTCTCTCTCTCTTTCTTTCTCTCTCTCTCTCTCTCTCTTTCTCTCTCTCTCTCTCTCTCTCTCTCTCTCTCTCTATCTATCTATCTATCTCTCTCTCTCTCTCTCTCTCTCTCTCTCTCTCTTCTCTCTCTCTCTCTCTCTCTCTCTCTCTCTCTCTCTCTCTCTCTCTCTCTCTCTCTCTCCCTCTCCCTCTCCCTCTCTCTCTCTCTCTCTCTCTCTCTCTCTCTCTCTCTCTCTCTCACTCTCTTTCTCTTTCTCTTAATGATCATATTAAGAATACTAACCATAATAATGGCTAACACTAATAATGATAACAATAGTAGTAATAATGACAAAGATGATGATAATGATTATAATGATAATAATAATGATAACAATATTACTAATAATGATAAAGATGGTGATAATGGTTATAATGATAATACTAATTATGATAACAATAGTGACAATGATAATGATAATGATAAAAATAATGATAGCAAAAAATAACAATAATGATAACAATGATAATGATAATAATAATAAACAAAATAACAATAACAACAACAATAACAACAACAAAGCGAGGTCAAGAAGCTCGAATGCCGCTACACGACGGGCCTGGCGCGCCTGGAGGAAGCCGAGACCTCCGTTTTGGCGATGCAACAGGAACTGCTCAACTTGCAACCCATCTTGCTGACGAAGACGCGCGAGGTGGAAGACAAGATGGCGGTCGTGGAGAAGCGGAGGCAGGAAGTGGCTGAGGTAAGGAGGGGGAAAAAGAGGAGGGGTGGAAGGAGGGGAGAGGGGGGTAGGTTGGGGGAAAGGGAGGGGAGAGGGGGGAGAAGGTGGGTGTGGGGGGATTGGGGGAAAGGGGGAGAAGGTGGGGGTGGGGGGAAAGGAGGAAGGAGGGAAGAGGGGAAGAAGGGGGGAAAGGTGGGGAGAGGGGGGAGAAGGAGGGGAGGGGGGGAAGGAGGATGGGAGGTGGGTAGGAGGGGAAGGAGGGGGGTGGGGGAAGGAAAGGGGTGGGTTGGGGGGAAGGAAGGAGGTGGGAGGGGAAGGAGGGGGGGAATTTAGGGAGTGGGTTGGGGGAAGAAAGGGGGGGGATTTAGAGTGGGGTTGGGGGAAGGAGGAGGTGGGGGGGAAAGGGGGGAGGGAGGGGAAGGAGGGGGGGGGAATTAGAGGCTAGGTTGAGGGAGGGAGGGGAGGGGAAGGAGGGGAGTAATTAGGGGGTGGGTGGAGGGGGGGGATATGGGTTAGGTTAGGAGGGTTGTATCTCGATTTGCGTGTTTTTTTTTCGTGTGTTTTTTACAGGATGTGATTTTGCGTCTTTCCTGCTTTTATCTCGGTATTTCCTTCAGAACCATTGCACTTTTATTGACATCTATCTCTTCCCATTTTTTTTCACATCTTTCCCTTCCCTCTCTTTTATTCCCATTTTCTTTATTCGCATTCTCTGTTCCCATCTATATTTACGCATTTCCCCGCCCCTTTTTCGCCAATTTTTCTTTCTTCATTCACATCCCTCTCTCTCTCTCTCTCTCTCTCTCTCTCTCTCTCTCTCTCTCTCTCTCTCTCTCTCTCTCTCTCTCTCTCTCTCTCTCCCCCTCCCTCTCCCTCTACCCCTACCCCTCCCCACCCTCTCCCCCTCCCCCTCCCTCTCTCTCTCTCAATCTCCCATTCTACCATCTCTATTAACGCACCCCCCTCCCCCGACCCCCTAGGTGGAGCGCGTGGTTCGCCAGGACGAGGTGGCGAACGAGGCCTCTCTCCCTCCCCCTCCCCCCCATCTCCCTTCCCCTCTCCCTCTCCCTCTCCCTCTCCCTCTCCCTCCATCCCCCTCCCCCTCCTCTCCATCCCCCTCCCCCTCCCCCTCCCTCCTTTTCTCTCTCCTCCCTCCCCCTCTTTCTCTCTCCTCTCTCTCTCTCTCCTTCTCTCTGTCTCTCTCTTAATCTCCCATTCTCCCATCTCTATTAGGTGGAGCGCGAGGTTCTCCAGGGCGAAGAAGTGGCGAACGAAGCCTCTCTCCCTCCCCCTCTCTCTACCCCTACCCCTACCCCTACCCCTACCCCAACCTCAACTTCTCCCCCTCTCTCTCCTTCTCTCTCTTTATCTATCTATCTCTCTCTCTCTCTCTCAATCTCCCATTCTCCCATCTCTATTAACGCACCCCCAACCCCCTCAGGTGGAGCGCGTGGTTCGCCAGGACGAGGAGGTGGCGAACGAGGCGGCGGAG